GGGAGCTGGGCGCTGTGGGCCTAGGTCTTCTCTGATGGGTTGGGTCCAGTTTAGTGACCAGGGACAATTGCCTGCTGTCCCTCTGCAGGCATCACATTCCAGGCAGCTGGTGGTCACTTGTGCCTCCTGCCAGGGCTGCCACAGGCTGACATGGTGAATGTCAGCAGGCAGACACGGGTCTCTCCCTTTCCTGGGCTTAAAGGCCTTTGCAAATGCCTTACATTCCAGGAGCCCAGAGAGAAGAGAGGCTCCCGTGGTTTCTAATTAAACCCACAATTTAAATAACAATCCATCAAGGGGGACAATAACTTCCCTCCCTGGGACAGCAGCTGGGACATTGTGGACTTATTTGCCCATAGCTAGACACCTGACCCGGAGGGTGAGGGGGAAGGGATCTCAGAGTTTGGGGTGAGGCTGATCTGTAAGAAAGTGTGGGTTGGGAGGGCTCTCACTTGCCCTTTTCTTTTCTGGTGAGGTCTGGAGTCAGAAATGAGAGAAGAGGTGTGCTCTGAAGCCTTCAATTGGATATTGCTACCCTTCTCAGGGAGATGTGGAACTTCCCCTCTAGAGCAGTAGAATTCTGGATACTCTAGATTCTTCAGAGTCCTCGCCCAGCCTGAGACCTGCCCAGTGACTCATTCTTCCTCTGTTGTTAGTCAAAGGGCTGGCAGGGCTCTGGCCTACTGCCAGGTGAGGGCACTCGGATTGGCCTTGTAAGTGAAGATTTGGTGATGTTGCTGCCCACCCAGGAGCTTAATGGTTAAAGAAGTGGTCTTTGGGCTCTTAAGCCAGTTTTTTTTTTTTTGGGGGGGGGTTGTTGTTGTTATTTTTTAAACTGTGGTATCTGTACATCTCTGAGTTTAGTGTTTTCATTTGGCCTGTCTAGGGCCACACATCTTTTATAGTGTGTTGATCTCACCAAATTGTTGTGTGATGACCCACAGCATGATTGTGTTCCAGATTTGGAGAAAAGTGGAATGCTGAGTGCTGCTATCCTTGGCTGAGGTCTTGTGCTGCCAGCATTTCCAGGCTTTCTGTGATCTCCCAGCTTCCTCTCTCTCCATTGCTGTTCGGTGAAATCTAGTGACACACACCCCAAGGGTGCAGGGCCTCATCTCTGCACTTTGTGTGCACATCTGACCTCTACCCAGCTGCTCGTGTAGTTACCCCAGCGGGGCTCCCCTTCCCCTCCATGCTAAGCTAGCCCAGGAGCAGTTTCTGTTGGCTGGAGCAATGCCTGGTTGTGACAAGAGTGAAACAAAGCCAAGGATGGCCTCACACTCTCTTCCTCCCTGCAGGTGACCATAGCGGATGACTACTCAGATCCTTTTGATGCCAAGAATGACCTCAAGAGCAAAACAGGAAAGGGGGAAAGCGCTGGCTACATGGAGCCCTATGAAGCCCAAAGGATCATGACAGGTGAGTGGAGCATTGGCACAGAGTACCTGAGACTGAGAAACTTACAAAGAGTGTATAATTTAAACAGGTGAGCTTTCCTGATTATAGAGATAAGTACATTTAAGATCAGGTGGACACACTGTCCAGGGACTCACGCTACATCTTAGTATAGCAGAAAGCAGAATAAGCAAACTGCCGAAGAGACAAGAGGGAAGAGCTTGCCTGCTCTCATAGTAACTAACCCAGTGCTACAGAGGAAGGGCCCCCCCACTTCCACAAGATGGCATTAGTCTATATATATGAAGATTCCATCCCCATTACTCAAACACCTTCAAATAAATCCCACCTCCCACACTGCTGCATGAAGCAGCCAGTTCTCGGGGACAGAGCACATTTAAACCATAGCACGCAGGGCTTGCAGCTCGACAAGAAGAGAGGAGCAGCAGGGCCTGCTGCACATCTGGCCACCTTCACTGTGGAAGAGTGCGTGTTCTCAGCGATAGCTGAGGAGCGGTGCGGCATTTTATCCCATGCTAAAAAAAACACTGTGAGTGTGTGCAAGACATATGCCACGTGCACATGTGGAGGAAAGAGGACAGACAGGAATCGATTGTTTTTCCTTGGCAATCCCCAGGATCATGCTTAGGTCATTGGGCTTGGTGGCAGGTGCCTTTTGAGTCCCTCCTCTTCTTCTGTGATCCCCCCCCCCCCCTTCCCCACAACATCAGAAAAAGATTTTCAGATGAGGACACGGTTGCAGTTAACCAGAGATACCAAGAGGTATAGGAGAGTTTGCTCAGGAACTCCTGAATGCAGAAGGGTGGGCATAAAACCTTACTTGGAGCTAACTACCAGCCAGGGCAAATGTGGAAGCAGGCCAGTTGGGTTAACTGGTTAACTAGTAGAAGAGGAGGGGTACCTTGTAACCATGGAAAGTGATTCTGTGGCTGCCAGAACAACTGGCCACTGTGCAAACCACCTAATGTTTGCTGCCCTGTTCTCTTCGTCGCTGGGAGACCGTGACTCACTTTACCCACATCTTTTCCTTTTTTTTTTTTTTTTTTTTTTTTTTAACAGGGGGCAATTTCTGGTTGTGAGAGTCTTGCCAAGGCCTCTTGTGTCTCTGGAGTCTTTGTGTGTACTATCACCATGGTGACTGATACTGTGGGCATGGTCCAGGGTGAACTGTCAGTATATAAGTGCTCCAGGAAGGGATGCAGATGGATGAACAGACCCAAAACTTGCTTAGGGGAGAACCAGGGAGAGGTTAGTGCTGGAAGTGGCCCTGGAATGGGTGGCACAGAAAGTTTTAACTGTTTAGACTGTGACTCCAGCCCAGACTGGCCTTGAACTGTGTAGCCAGGCCTGACCTTCAACTTGTAATCCTCTTTGTCTAGGTATTAGTGTTATATGGATGAGCCACCATGTTCAATTATATGGTGCTGGGAATCAGATCTCGGGCTAGGCAAGCTCTCTACCAGCCTAGCCACATTGCAGCCCATTACTTTTAGGGGTACTATTGCAATTTCTGTCCTGTGTGTACAGGACCTAGTACCAGGGCAGTGTCCCACGCCTGGAAGGACCCCAGGCTGAAGGCAAGCACATCTGGAATGAACACTTGCCACCCAAATAACCTCTGGGATTCAGTTTCTCCTGTGTAGCAAGAACCTTAAATCAGGTGTTTGCAGTGTGCAAGGATGCTTTCGGCTGCTCACTAGTGGTAGTAACTGGGGCAGGATATTCTATGCCTCTGGTTTTCTCTGGTTCTGTGACAGTAACAATGACAGAAGAAGTTGCCAAAATCTCTGGTCCTCATTTGCAGTGGTTTACATGGGATTCAGGTAGAGGACCCGTTTTTTACCAGTGGGGAACTGAAGCCCCTGCAACCCGGCTGCTTGGTTGTGAGGCAGCTTCCTGTGTCTGGACCATCTAGCACCTTCTCTGCTGGGCTGGGTGCTATGACTTGGTTTTCAGTTTTTAGGCAGCATTGTCTCTTAGGTCAGGCTTCATTGATGTCAGTTGCCCCTCTGCAATCCTAGCTCCAGATGGGTTTGTGAACCAACAGCTGGTTCCAGGGCTGTGAAGAAGTGAGCACTTGTGGCTTCCTCTGAATGCCTCAGCTTACTGTCTCCACAGGTTCTACTGTGTCACCTGCAAGAACCAGGGTCTAGACCAAGACTGAGCTCCATGTCCTCTGTGCCCCACTGCCTTCTAACTGTCAGAGCCTTGTTTACCATCCTCCCCAAGTGGCTCCCAGAACTGCCTCCATAAAACCCTACAGCACTGGCCAGAGAGTGCAGCTCAATGGGTGGGGGAGCATTTGATTTGCCTTGCCTGGGTGTAGCTTAGTTCACTCCCCAGTTCCATAAGACAGAGGACCCAGCTGGAGAACCATTCCTTTTGGTGAACTGGGAAATTGAGGCTAGAAAAACAAAAACATGTTAATTCTTTTGAGATTAATTTTGAACCCACTGATTCAATGTGAAGCTCTTTATGAGTCATTAATCCACCTGTCCTCAGTGGTATCTAAGCAGAGAATACTGGGAGATGGTATGAAGGGTTGTTACATTTCAGATGGGTGATTGGCTCCCAGTGCCCTGAGGTCCATGTTAACCCTGAAACCTTAGGATGCCATGATTCATTGTGAGTACTTTTCACACACACAGATTGTTCTATGTTTCAGGACTGGCCCCATGAAGGGAACAAGGAAGGACAGATCTTCCTCGGCTCAACTCTCAGATTCTGATTTTGACTTCTCTGCCCTGCTACCTGTCTGGGCCTCAGTTTCTTCATGTGTAAATCAGAAAGGAAGATGAAACTATTCATAGGTTTCCTTCCTGTCCACACATATTTGATTTTCTTAGACCAGATCTCCTGTTGGGCCAGTGGTTACACTGCTTCAGAGCCTAAGGATTTTGTCACTTTGTTTTTTGCCACAGAGCTGGGGTTCAACCTAGGACCTCATACCAGTCTATAGACAAACACTCCAACACTGAGCAACTGTATCCCAAACTCTCTTCTTACATTTTATTTTGTGGTGGTCTTGGCAAATTGCCAGGCTGGCTTTGAACTCACCCTGCAGCTCAGGTAACTTTCAGCTTCATGAGTAGCTAGCATTACAGGCATGTGCCACCAGGCCCAGCTATAGCCCAGTCTTCCTGTTTTCTCAGGTCTCTGTTAGAGGCTGCAAGCCCCTGGCTCCCAGTCATCTGTAACTCCAGCTCCGGGGGACCTGATATCCTCTTCTGGTCTCTATGGACACATGCACTCACATGCATTACACCCCCCACACCTAATCAAAAATAATAAAAACAAAATATTTTTTAAAATGCAAAAGGGCTGTAACTGTATACAGCCCAGTGTAGATCAGGTGTGGGGGACTCTTTGAGCAAAGCCCTGATAGAGGACCTTTTGGTTGGAGAGGGGCCTTTGGGATGAGATGGTGTGGGTGACAGTTGTTCATTTTCCTTGCAGAGGACGGCCTCCCTCATTTCCTCCTTACAGAGCCTGTGAGGTATAAGCACTTCCCTGCCTGTTTGCAAAGCACATTGAGGCTTGGACCAGCGCAGGAAGAAGCAGCACCAGGATCCAGCCCCAGTGTCTTGGCATGTTTGTTATCAGCACAGCTTTGTATTGCTCAGAACCCTGATCATAGCTCTTCCTAGAGCGGCTGTGGAAGTAAGGGGAGATCACTGTGGCTGCCGCGCCCCCCTCTCCCTTTTAGTATGTCTAACCTTTGCCTTCAGCATCCTTTACAGGAGCACTCAGTGTCGGCTCCTAAGATGAGTCACTTGGGTATGCATTGAAAGCTTTTTTCATTTACTTTTAAATATGTAATTACACATTAAAACTCCTTATCCGTTGTTACTACTGAATCGGCTTTACTGCATGGTAGAAAGACTAAGAGGTCCTTCCACACAGCGCCACTGCCATGAGTAACTTCCTTGGTCATACTTTCAGACTCTGTGATAGCTTTCCAGAAATGTAGCAAATGTTGTATTGAAGACAGTATTCCTTGTGAGGGAAGCAGGAAACAATGGGGCCTCTAGTCTTGGCTCTCTCCTTGGTTTGCCACGTGGCCCTGGACAGGTTGCTTCCCACCTCTGTGCTTTATTACCTCATCTGTAAAGCTGGATTCTGCTTTTTATCACCAGGTGTCACAAGGGTCCAGATAAGGTAACAGATCTGCTTTGACTGTAAATCTTTAGGCTACTGCTTCTGGAGTCATTTCTAGAGAGACCCCCGAGAGTTCTGAATCTCCTGGCTATCCCTATGTAATACCCCAAGTCTCTAGCAGGTGGTAAGTGCTGCCCTCTGCTCCCAGACAGGAAGAGCACCCTCTCTGACCCTGCTCTTCAGTTCTCTGCTTCTGATCCAGCAGATACTTCTCAGAGAAGGGCCCCTGGGCCTTGCCTGAGATTCCCATCTCTGTGTTCACTGTCATCTCTGCTGTTTTAGAAAGCTGGTCTGGTTTCTGGACTGTGTGGGGCTTTCCTTGCAGAGGACAGGCCTCCCCCTTCTCCAGGCTGCACAGTGCTATGGCCTCTGTTCCCAACATGTCCCAATCATCCTCACCTACTCTGTCCCATACAACTCTACTTGCCAAAATGTCCCTGCACCTGCTTGTATCCCTCTTTCCCCAGCTGTCTCCAGGTAGGTTCATGCTTTAGCCTGCCCTGGTGGTCACAGTTCTCCCTGGATAGAGAGACAAGATGAAAAGCAGTCATTTGGCCTAGCATTCTTTCTGCCTGAGACCCAGACAGGCATTTACTAGCCAAGGTTACACTACAGCAAGCCTCGGAGCAGAGCTGGTCTGGTCTCCTGACTTGCATGGCAGGGCTTTTGGGCCTTGTTTTGAAACGTTTTGAAGCCTGGCCTGGCCTTCTCCCATCTGGCAGGCAAGAGGGTTCCGTCAGGGATGGTGCAGTTCCCTGGTTGGTCTGTCATTTACTGGAATAGCTTACCTACTGGACAGGAAGGAGATAATCAAGAGTAAATAGATTCTGGATTAGTCAGCGATG